ATTTTTTTGGCGTTTTTCGATGAAATAAAATCTGTGAAGAATCATTGAATTTATAAAATAGTATAATCAAAAGCTATTTGCAAAAGATCATTTTCATATTAAGTAACTTCCAGTTATTGTAGTAATTTCATTTGATCATTTGGTATTGTCAATAAAAAAWTTGAAAATTCATTGTCATTTTGATTTGTGAGATACTATCATTAAAAAAGCTTACACATTTAGCTCAAAACACTTGTAAAATACATATTCATTTCATACRTGTCTCATATTGTGTTTTTGTTTTACAACCACACTGTCTAAATAGTTAATATATACTACAATGTGAATGTGTGCTTCAGATCAACCCAATGATTTCTTTTTTTTTTACCTCCTGGACAAGTTTTCACAACATCTAATTGGTATTTGGTGTAAGGTTGATCATTTAATGTAACTGGAAATGTAACAAACTTGTACATACATGTGGCACACTGACATACATTTTGTAAAATCACAATGTTTACCACTTTGATCACATTGATGATGCATTTGTCATATAATAGRCCCAAACAGTCCAGTATATACACATGTAAACAGCTTTGATATAGATACATTGTAGGTGACAAACATGCATGCCTTGCATATTGATTTKTGTGCATGACAGCTAATAATTGCCACATTTATCATTTGCATCTCAAAATTAGTAAAGTTTTTGAATTTCTCTCTGGCATCTTAGAAGTTAATCTTTTTAATTGTCATGGAGAGCAGCCAACTGTTTTCTATTGAAGATAAAGATTCTTGCAAATGTCAAGCACTAATAGAGTACAACAAAAATTGTTATTCATGTCAGGCGAAGTGCATATTGGTGAATAGTTACAGTACTGCTTATGGATTTGTAGCTCTGTAACATTTACTATTCACCCATAATCACTTTGCCTATCGGTTATCATTTTTAGCAATATTTAGAATAAATACCAACTTATTATAAAAATAGTGCTTTTTTGTATACAAAATTCCACCCTTAAAAATAAGGAAAAAATACTGAGAATATAAGGCTTCTAATCATTAATTCTACAATAAAAAGGTAAACAGGTAATATTTTTAAGTTTTTTGAAAAATAAAATAATTTCAACTTTATGTGTCAGGTTTTTTAATTTTAAAGTGATAAATAATTTGCTTGGCTCTCAAATAAATATGAAATTCACTTCTCATGTAGTTTATATTTATATGTACAAATTTTACTGTGTCTGGTTGATGTACAAAGAGAAAATTACACATTGTTGTACAAAAATACAATAAAAGGTCCATTTCATAACCAGTGAAACAAAACATGCATGCTAACCATGAGCACTTCATGTAGTTATATTCATTTCTTTCTCGTATGCTGATATTGGAATTACTTTGGTAAACAATTATCCTACGCAGATGATATTAAATAACAATAAAAAAATATGTTAGTACGATAATTTTTCATGTTTGCAATATACAGTTATTAATTGTATAAAGGTTGTGGATTGAGAGTTGTCTTTTTAAATGTAATAAGTGGCTGTTGTTAAAGTATGAAAAACCAACCATCATCCCATTTGGTATTTTTTAAGTGAACATGAACCCTTTTAGAAAATCAATTCATTCAAAAGATAACATACTGCTAAGCACTTCTGCAAAGGAAAAAAATATATTCCAATTTATATCTTCTGATTTAAAAGCATTTGAAAATCAAAAAAATGCAAATTAAGTGACGTCTACTAAGGAATTACTTGATATGCAAAATCACAAATAATGACATAAATCTTTTTTAGATCAGAAACAACATTTCCTGTTCTTGAATATAATGGCTGTTGAAGATTTGACCATTTGAACCAAACGCAATATATCATAAACAATCAAAAACGTCCATACCAATTCCTTGGTTGACGTCACTTCATTAGCATTTTCTAATTTCAAATGCCTTTAAC